GGTCATGCACACACTGGAATCTGCACTAAAATTTGCATGGGAGAACACGCGCATTGTTGGCGCCTGCCCACTAAGGAAAGGTCGCAACTTCCTGGAGGTAATGCGCTCAGATGAGGGATGCACCAATCGGCCCATCGATCTAGATGCAATTATACAAATTTTTCAAAGGAAAAAAAGGAAGCGGAAGTAGCCAATCCGGAGGGGAAGACGGAAAATTATTGATGCGCATTAGCGCAGGCTTCGGTCAATCATAGAATCACTTTTTCAGCAAGGTTAAATAGTTACCAGTCCTTGTGCATAGCGCAAAAGTCTTATGACAAGCTTGTGAACCAGACTCGAAAATTTACGCATTAAAATGTATTCCCTTCCCAAAAAATATTGCTTATTTTTAGTTAAATTTCTTCGGATGCACGTTTTCCAGTACATCCATGTAAATATATTAGAGGTTAGACAACAGAGTCTGAGGATAGAACGATAAGGCACTGTTTTGACCTTATTTACCCCAATTCAGCCAATCATTACCCTACGCAAAAGCTGGGGTTGGAAACACAAAAAGGCGCTTACACATCTGGCGCAGCTAATTTACCACAAGGGTCTACTAGATGGGTTCCTCGGACTTCCTCGGACCGAAGTTTATCAGTTTCTCGCCGCCTGGCATTCTCTTGAGCTGCCGATCGGGTATTTGTTAGTCAGGAATGGGCGCCCACCGATCCATTGGCATCCCGAAGGAAACTTATGTACATAGGTTCGGCTGCTTCAGATTTACTATAATGAGAACATGACTTGAATGTGCCATCCACATCCCTCTCACTTTTGTGGCACAGTCAACTATCCGGGCCTCTAAACCGATAGCTTATGGGATTGGAGTCAGTGGCTGACGTTCCCCACTTGTATGGCAGTGCTTGCGGCTTACATGGACTCTAGATGGTCAGTTAACGGTAGTGTATGCTGGCCGCCGTTTTAATTCGGCGTATCTACAACACGGTCGGCTATGGGACCAAAACTGTACAATTTGCAGTTTAAAAATTTTAGGCGTTTAATAAAAAAAACGGGAAGTTTCAAAATGTTCTAGCAATTTTGCTGCGAAATAAACTTTACACATCCCAATCCTAAGTATGCGTATCTTGGAGTGCTTTGCCGCTAAAACCCAAATTTCCTACGTTGTCTGCCAGCGTTAAGGCTGCAATCGTCGATGTATTGTCGAGTCGAATCGCCCGGCGGTAACCAGATTAGGTCTTTCACTTGTACTTCATATTTAAAAACTAGATATATGCTCAGACGACTGAATTCTGGCCAGCCAAGGGAGAACTGTATATTTTTATGGTCGTGATGAGGACAGTAGATGCGAATTTATGTACCCACACAAAACTTTATATCCGTGGCCCTCCTAAACCCTAGTTAATATTGAAACATGTCAAGTAAACATTTAATATGCCGGAGATGTAAATGGCATGACATAATGCCTCAGAACGTGCTATTTTGTAGTTAAGAAAAAAGCTTGTTCCAGGCACAGTTAGATTCTGTCACGATCTGAATCAACTATTCAACAAACGTATCCGTTTCATCGAGAATCAGCTAGGAAAAAATACATCCTGCGGTATATCTTAATATCCAGTGTGAAACTCAATGGATATTAGTTGATCCGCCAGCTTACCGAGTGTTTTCTTCGCCAACGGTTAAACAATATTGCTAAATCTTACCCCTATATTAGCTGCTCTGCAAATCTTTTCAATTAGGCTTGTTCTGCGCTTTTTCTATGGCTTCTGACGTAGTGTCAATCCCGACGTCTCCGGTCATGCGACAATACACCCTCCGCAAAAAAGGCCATCCTACTAAACAATATTCCCTTGGGGAAAGTGATGAGCAGGGTCTATAAAACGCGCGTTTTCGTTAGCAGTGCGAATACGCATGTGTCGTATTTCGTGAAATATTAACCGGAATTCTGAAACTCGCTTTCAGTCAGAATTCACTATTTAGGGGAGATCGTAAGACTGATTATTACGCAGCATGATAGCGAGGTATTTCAGTCAGGCCACGATGCCGATTTCAAAATAAGCAATTTTTCGGCCACTTGGAAAACTATACTAGGTAAAACGAATTAGCTATGTAGCTCCCTTTTTCCCATAGGTTTTTAACGTATTAGGAAATTTAACTACATTGTATAAAATATATGCACAAAATTAGTTTTTCTTTTATTGCCTTTGCAGCAAATCACGGCTTCATCAAATTTCGTTTTCCAAAAAATTGTCTTTAAAGGTTTGATGCAAGGCCATTATTAGTTTGCAAGTAGTTTTTAACTCCATGGGCAGTTTTGCTTGCTCGTTACGTTCCCGAAATACGTGCCACATGCTAGGTAAATTACCCTTATCTACACGTCATACAGGGCAGATATAATGCACTACAAATGGACACAAGAAAGAATACTTTGCCGCCTGTTTTCCATAGAATTTATTAGAATTTGTACAGATATCGAGTACTCATAAGTAGCTTTGTAACCGAACTTGATTTTATTGACGGCCAGAAAAAAACCCGTGATTAAAATATCTTGAGACTGTGCTCCAATTTATCAATGCTACAACTCTTTAGTAATATTTTCTAATTAAGATGTGTCCCAGAACTTCAGTTAACATATATATTTAATACTGGAGTATTCTGGTTGAGTTTATATGCGTTTTTATACGTATGGATCGGGAGCACATACAGGAATCCATACAAGCGGCAAATATAAACTTCAAACATATGGTATAACACTTTTCAAAATAGAAAGACTTTGAAGCAAAACACAAAATAACGGGTTGATTTTTTCCGAAAAACTATCAGATGATGCACCCTCCTAGTTAAGCTAATTAAGTTTCAAAGAAGACCTGCATTATACAAAACTATCGATATGCCAGACGGCACGGCACAGACCTAGCCGCACAACCAGAACAATCGAGCTTACAAACGCTCCTGGA